GACATCCAGAGGACCATCTGCTGACGGTCCTCAGGACGTCCAACCCCGAAATTGGGGGTCGGAACTCCAAAAACTTCAAAAGGTTTGGGAGTTGTTCCCCTAACAAAAAAATAATAAAATTAAATAAAAAATATAAAATAAAAATAAAAACATGAAACAACTATGTATATGAATGGTCTCAACGGCCAAGAGGGATTCCTCTTGGCCGCTGAGAGCATATACTCTCAGTGGTTTTGCCAGCCGAGAGTGTACAACTCTTGCCAGCCGAGAGGGATCTCTCTGCTGCTGAGAGTGTACACTGTTGAGTTTTCAACTCTTTGGCTACTCTTTCCCCTAAATTTTTCTCCTCTTTTCTTTCTTGAATCATCTTGACCTGGACTGAAATATCCTCAATCATAGCTGTTTTTTGTCTTGAATCTTATGCTCAATTGTAGTCTAATTAGAACTAATCATGGCAATTTTCAAACAACTCTAGTCTTATTGATTGATGTCTTTCTTTTTCTAGCTCACTATTTGATTCTTTAAAAGCTAATTATTTGGAAGTAACGCCTCTAAATATTTGTGGTAGAATTTCTGATTTTTCTTGATTAACTTTTCTTGTCTGACTAAAAGAGACTGAGAAGTCAGGCTAAGACTGTTTCTTCCAAGACTTCAAATTATTCTGTCTCTTAGTTTTTATTCAACTTTCCTTTTTATTCAATTTGCCTCAACCACAGTTTGATCACATGTATTTAGTCTATTTAATCTGGCTATTTACCTGTGAATGAAAACCATCGGTTCTTTCATTCTTTTTCCGCAAACCTTTCCCAAAAAAGATCCTCAACCTTTTTTGTGCCCTCTTCTCAAAAATCCCAACTTCAACCAATCAAGAGCTCAAAAATTCAACATACACTCTCTGCGACCAAGAGGAATCCCTCTCGGCCTCCGAGAGTAGTACACTCTCAGCAGCCGAGAGGGATTCCTCTCGGTTGCAGAGAGCTGTACACTCTCAGCAGCCGAGAGGAATCCCTCTTGGCCGCCAAGAGTGTACAACTCTCGCCGGCCGAGAGAGATCTCTCAGCTGCTGAGAGTGTACACTCTCTGCGACCAAGAGGAATCTCTCTTGGCCGCCGAGAGCCGTGCACTCTCAGCAGCCGAGAGGAATACCTCTCGGCCGTTGAGAGCATACACTCTCAGCGGCTGAGAGGAATCCCTCTCGGCCGTTGAGGGCATCTTCCCGGCGCCGATTCCCAACCCCCCTGGGGTTTGTGGCGGATCGACTTCCAAAAACCCCCGGGGGGTTTCATTTTTTTCATTTTTTTTAGTTATTTTTTATTTTTTTTATAAGGGGAAAGACTCCCAAAACCTTTGAAGGTTTTGGAGGTCCGACTCCCATGGACGTCCGGAGGAGCGTCCACAGATGGTCCTCTAGACATCCCAGAAATTTGGGAGTCGGAACTCCAATTTCCGGGAGTCGTTTAACAAAGACCCTAAATTTAAATGAATTCTCAAAAACTCATAGGCAGAAAAAAAAATTGATGAATCAGATAAACTAAAATTAAAATTGAAATTTCTCTTTTGAGGATTTTTATACACCCAAAAAGAATGATCAATGTTAGAAGATTTTTAGCATATTCAGAATTGCCAAAAAATGAATTAAAAAGGCTGGGGAAAACCAGGTGTAGAAGCAGAAAACCAGGTGTGAAAAACCAGTGGTGGGCCGCTACGCTTTTGGCCCAAAAAGCGTAGCGTAGCGGCGCTTTTTTCATCAAAAAAGGGTAGTGTTAGAGTTTTTTTAGTGGTTTTTTGCTACGCTATGCTGTGCTACAGCGCTTTCAGCGGAAAAAGCGGCCAAAAACCGCTAAAAACCGCTGTAGCGCAGTGTAGTGGGCCCTTTTTTGCGGCCCACACGCGTAGCGTTAGCGGTGTCGTGGCGGAATTCCTCTACACTACGCTTAGCGCTAACAGCAATTCTGCTGCGTTACGCTACACTAACCGCTAAGGTTAGTGTAGCGGCCCACCGTTGGAAAAACCGGGTGTGGATAGCAGAAAAGGGGGGTACGTTTATTAATCCCCTTTATTTTTTACTTTTCACAAATTTTGAAACCTTTTTTTTTGTTTTTATTTTTTCATATTCATTCTTTGGGACCTATTATGCACCACTTCACCAATTCTTGTGACTTCAAGTTTGTGCTTTGAAGCTCTTGAATCCAAAACAAACAGCCAAAAATAACAGTCCACCCACTGTACATGTATCTTCTGAAATAAGAGGGATATTCTGAAAGAATTTGAAGACTGAAGATTCATTTCTTTATAAGTTAAATGATTTTATAAAGAAATACAATTTTATAAATAAAAAGATAAAGGAATAATTGAGTTATTACCTGAAGGCAGAATAAAACTCTGCGAGGATAATAACACTTTTATATAAAAGAATAAGAAAGAAAAGTTTGTTGAGCAAGAGCGGTAATAGCTAATGATCAAAAGAGTCAAACTTGATCAGTTCTTATTTCATTTGACATTCCATTATATTGATAAGAATTACTTTACTACAATTGGATCAATCGATCTGGTAAAGGTTAATTCTAATGCGATGATTGAATTTTGTTTAATGTTTCTAAAAACATTTCGCAGAAAGTTGAAAAGCATTAATTCATACTTTTATCGATCTTTTATTCTCTTTTCTTCATTTTAAGAAAAGGCCATTATTACTCACCGGTCTTAGGTGGAGAAATACGATTGATGAGCTGTTTGCAACTTAAGGAGAATTGATTGATGCTAAAGATGATGAATTGTTAAGGAAGGAAAGATGAAATCGTCAATGATTGTCTCTTTCAAATTCCTTTGATCACAATCATCGATACTCACTTAGAGTTTGATGATCGATGATCATCATCATCTAAAGCTATGACATCATTGATGCAAACTCCTGAATCACAAGCTTTGAGCTTGGCATTTGCATGCTCATCTGCAGAACAGCTAGTTTCTGTACATGATCAAACAATAATGATCAGTACGATGATTCACTCTAGGAAGTTTACACTTTAAAGTATAACTTACCCGAGGCTCTCCTCTTTCGAGGGCTAGACTTAGGAATTGAATTCCAACATATTCAACACATGTACATTTAATATGTTTTGAATATCTTGACACTTTTCCCCAAAGAAGTAGTTTAAAAATATGGGGACTGCACTGGTACCACTAGCAGTTCGACCACTGCTTTGTAATCCTGAAGGGGATGACTCTTTCCCTCAGATTCATCCCCCAGACAATTATTACCACTCAAACCCACCAACCTTACTTATATTATTATCACTGGTGTCATCCTTTGTCATTATTATCACTAGTCTACAAGTTAAACCTTTAACTTCATAGACTAGTAATCCTTTTTCTCATATATTTTCAAAGCTTAGGCACAGTGAAGCTCATCCCAATTTTGTCCCTTATTATTATAAGGAGCAAACCTCTTCATTTCTAAGTGTTGAGGAGAGGTTCACTTCCACTGAGCACCTCTGTGGTTTTGGTGAGACCCAGAACCCTATCAGCACTTGGTCACACAAGATACCAGCACTGACAATAGTGTCACTAACAGCGTGCTAACACTACAGAGCTGGTGTGCTATGTCAAGGGTTTCTATGCTAACAGCATTGGGACATTTAGTATTGTGGAGCGTAGTGGCCCATTGCTGCTGCTGTTGAATTTGCAAGAGTTGCCAAAATGGCAACAATTCTATGTGGAGAAAACTTATCATAATGTATTGTGTAAGGCTCTGATTAGAATTTGCATCTAATGATATATAACATTTTGGGCGGCTAAACGGAGCCCAAGATATTTTGAAACATTCTCATCTTATAGGTAGTTGAATACCACTCATGGGTCCAGTAGAGACTACCGATGTTCTGAATGTTTCTAGGATTATTCCCCAGTGTCCGCAGCTGTTATCACCAGATTGCTTCCAGTGATGGCTTGTTCCCTGGTCATGCAGGTGAATGCTTATCCAAAGCTCTCTTTGGGCAAGGGTTGTTTTTTTTGTTCTTGATTAAGACAGCTAGTCAATCTGCAGAGATCTGTTATACAGCAGTTCCCAGAAAGCTTGCGCTCGCAAGCTCCTGGGATGTGATTTTTTTTTTATTTTCTTTCAACTTTTTTTTGCGCCTCGTAACCTGTACACATGATTGTACAGGTTGCGAATCTGCTGCCGAGGCCGGGTGAGGCCTCCGGGCCCCTGTTGGTTGCCTGGTGGGGGCTGGGTACAACGGGTGTGATGACCGCTTCCAACTCAAAAAAATGAGAGGAATCCAATGGTCCAACTCCCATATCTTCAGCTTGAAAAATGGGGGAGTTGGGCCATGATGCCTGGAATATTGTGGCTGTACGAGGCCACATACAGGACAGAAAAGCAAAGAAAACTCGAGGCACAAATAAAAAAAAATTGGAATCCCAGGAGCTCGCGACAGCAAGCTTTCTGGGAACTGCTGTAACTGCTTTGGACAAACAACCAAGTTTGAGGCCTTGGAAAGAGCAGTTGGGTGATTCAGGACAACATCTTGCACCAATTAGGCCAGTTCATATCTGAAGTTCAAGGCAATTTTTAGCACATTTGTAGATAAAATTTTATGAATTTTGTCAAATCTCATGAATCATCAGGTTTGGATGAATTTGAGATTTTTGACAAATTTGTAAAATTTTAATGATAAATGTCATTAAATTTGCCTCAAAGCTCAGACGTGAACCGTCCTATTGACGGTCATTTTACTTCCAGGTCCGATGAAATATCATTAATCAGGGTGTTTCAGTGGGTTTTGTTTGGACTGATTCTCGAGAAATGACCAGTATCCTACTATTCTTTGAGAAATGCGAATGGGAAACAGTGGAAAGTTTCTTATTCTACCTCCGAATACCAGAGATTTTCAGAGTGACTTTGTAATTAAGGTTTTGTCACGTCAGCTGGCTTGAAAGTCGTGCTTGGTTTGTTGTTGCCTGCTTCAGTCAGTGGACTTCCCCGCCCGTTTATCATATAAGGCAGGAGTTAATTTCCGGGTCATCCGACTGAGCCCGGTCATGAACCTTTGCTCTGTTGACCATTGCCAATGCCCAATTACTCCCTTCGACTCATTCCCGCCAAGTTATGATCACCTTATGGTCCATGGAGAATATCCAGTTTGTTAGCCGAGGCCACAACCGACCAGAAGGTTTCCATCCCAAAAGCCGGGCTCACAGTCCGCTCTGGCCGGGAATCGGGATTTCCATGACACGGTTCTCTCCAGGTCGGCTTTGGCCTGGCTCCCAGTCAGCCTGGCGACCGATTGTCCTGTTGACCAGTCGGGAAGCAACTGAGGGAAGATGCGCAACTGGATCGATGACTGTTCGGAATAAGACTGCTTTTCTTTCTTCCTCGTTACCCCTATTATAAACAACAGCTTGTCTTGTCTTGTCTTGAAACAAAAATACAGAAAATCTCAGTCATAGCAACTCGGTCGATCGATAAGGAAATCGCCTATTTCCTTTTACAACAATCTGAAGCTTCCTTCCCCCAGTCGTCGTCTCCTGGCTGCTCTCCTGGTGAAGTGTGTCTATGCACTTAAGCTGCCTAAGCCCATACATACATATCCTACATCTCCTACCCTCAACCCCCTCGATCAGCCTCTCATACAAAAACTGCAACTACAACTTCATCCAGAACGCCAACAAACAAACAGCAACACACAACTCAAGCAAGCAGCAACCAACACCCAGCTCAAAACTCAAATCAAGACACAAACAACAAAACGAAACATCATCATTACATCAACTTACAAACCCTAAAACGCATCTTCAACTGTCGAAACCTGTCTCATCTATCACATCACACAGCCTGACTTCAGCTCCCCAATAAAAGGAAGAACAAGAAGAAGATCAAGAGAAGAAGGAAACCAAGCGATAAGAAAACCATCTATCAGTCAGATATTCGCCACTCGCATAACTCCTCCATCAATTATCACATCAGCCAGCAATCAACTTCCTTCAGTCTCCCAGGAGCCACGGTAGCTCGTTCGAAAGATGGGTGTCGAAGACAAGTTTGTTGTCTCCAGTCCTCTCTTTCACTGATCACTTGGTCTCACTTCATCCCAATTGATGCTCATCTTTCCTTCCCATTAGATACATCGGTCTGGCTCTCGCCGTTTCTTCTTCCTTGGCGATTGGGACATCTTTTGTTGGTTTCCTCTCATTCTCAAGACATTTGTTCCTATTCAAAATTCAGAATTCCAATTGAAGCAGCAACCATTAAGTGAAAAAAGAAATAAACAAGAACATCAACTAATCCATCTTGCTTCACGTCTCTTGTTTAAACCAAAATCGTCAAATTATTCACCCAGATCATAACCAAGAAAGTCAGTGACACAGTCCTCAAAACCAAGCAAATCACATCCAAATCTAATCATTTTCAAACTTAACATCCTGGTTTTCCTCATACGTAGGGTCTAATGGATGCTGCTGAAAGAGTATCAGGACCCTCGACCGACACACATACATACCTCAAAAATCCAATCTGGTGGGCGGGAATGACTACTAGTTAGTATTTTGTTTTTCCAGACAAAATCCACCACATGTCAAACAAAAAATACCCCCTGTTTGGATTTTTCCATCTCAAATCCCAATAATAATAATGATATCAAGCCTTGAATTTCTCTGCAATTTAGTGGTTGTCGGTGAAGGTCAGTTTTTGAAATTGCAGTTCCTTCATTTTTGTTTCATGAGCCTTTTTTTGACGGCTTGCCTCCTGATTTTACTATGCTCAAACCAATTCCAGTGGCCAATTTCGCCGCGTATACGTTTGCTCCTCCTATCCTTGTAACCCCTCTTGGTGCGCTGTCTGTGCTTATTGGGTACGCTTCTACTCCTGTTGGTCAACTTTGACTTGCTACCGGGTTTCATTTTCTTTATACCATCTCTAGTCGTAGACAGCCCTGCGTTTCAAGACAGACTTACTGATGTAATTTGTTATGCTTTTTTCCCATCAGTGCTGTATTGGCTTCTTTTTTCCTTCAGGAGAAGCTAGGAAGGATAGGTAAAATAGGATGTGCTCTATGTCTGCTTGGCTCCATCATCATCGTCTTGCACGCCCCAGAGGATAAGGAAGTGAAAACGGTTGATGAAATTTTAGGCTACGCCATGCATCCTGGTGAGCAATCACATTTATTGATCAAGTGGTTAAGCAGTACTAGTCAGCTCACATTCTGTTTGGACAATTGTGATTAGGGTTCTTGTTCTATTGTTTTTTCGTTCTAGTGTTTAGCGTTTTTATGATCTACAAAGTTTCTCCGACCTATGGAACTCGAGAACCGATCGTGTACATCTCGATTTGTTCGTTGGTCGGCTCAGTCAGCGTGATGGCCATCAAAGGATTCGGCGTGGCAATCAAACTAACCTTGGCTGGATCCAATCAATTGACGCATCTGCCCACTTACTTGTTTGCTATCGTCGTCGCTGGCTGTATCGTCGTTCAGATGAATTACTTCAATAAAGCCCTTGATCAATTCTCCACGAACGTGTTGGTACTTTTCATCTTTTTCTGCTGGAATCATGTGCAGGGTGTTGAGAATCGTTCTACTTCCCAACAGCGTCAATCCGATCTATTACGTCTGTTTCTCCACGGCCACAATTGTCTCTTCGTTGATCCTCTTTCAAGGATTCGGTACACAGGATGCAGTCAACACATTATCTCTACTCATGGGTTTTTTCGTCACCTTCCTCGGAGTTTATCTGCTAAATATCTCCCGACTTGATCCGACTGGGACGGCGCAAAACCAGGATCGAAGTCTCGAAAACGGGGTGATGCATCCGCGGATGAGTCTGAACGCGTCTCGCCTGAGCTTGAGTTCAGAACAGCCACTGACGCACCACCCGATCCATCGATCCTACCATCGTTCGAGCATGCCCTCCTCAGCCAACCCTTTCCATCCCTCTCCCAAGGGCCAACTAGGTGCCTATCGCAGCCAGGATAGTGTGCTCTTTGACGCCTTTCCTGAGGAAAGCGTCGGACTCACACTCATGAACACGTCCGAGGAAGAAGAGGATGATGACTCTCATCATCCAGATCATCGTGATCATCACCATCATCGACTCTCCTCTCCTCACCGAAATCACTCCACTTCTCCTCGAAAATCTAAATTCCCTATCGTCTCTTTGAGGGAGGTTAAGCTTTCTCCTACAACAACCACCCCTACCGACAATCGTCTTAGCCCTCTCAACACTGACACAAATCCTCTCCCTTCCACCGATCATTCCTCTCCTCATTCATAATTGAACAAACTCCTCTTGTTTTTTCATTTTCTCTTTTTCTTCAACATGCATTTATATATACATACGCGCGAAAATATATATATTTACTTGAAAAAAAAAACATATATAAACATATGTGCTGTGTGTGTACTCCGGTGTGTCTGAATATGTATACGTGAACACATCTCAAGTTATGCATGTGTGTGTATGTATGTACAATGTCTGTGTATATACATCATCACAGCTCCCAAGGTTTTTCTCTCCTCCCAATCCCCTCTCTGCCTCCCCCTGCCCCTCAAAAAAATCATGGAAGATCTACATAAAATGCACACTTTTGTTCATGTCCCTCTATATGTGCCTTCTCCCTTTTACTTCATTCATCCTCATCCTCTCCCATCAAAACTTTTTTCATTTTCCTGTTCTACTCACACTCACTTCTGTTTTCATCTTTCTTTTTTTTTTTGTGATTTCTTGATTGGCTTTATTTTTCTCTTTTTTGGTTCCCATAAGATGTTTATATACTTCTTCTTGTTATCTTTTCTCTTTCATTCTGGTTTCAATTAGTGACTACCACTACTATTTCTTTTTCTTTAGAAAAATACATAGTGTAGTTTTTTTCAACATGTATAATTACTGTTTTTTCTTGTTTTTTTTATTTATTTGTCATTATTTTTGATTCTGTTGATGTGGTATAAACTTGCAACCAAAACTAAACAAGTGGATCAGAAAATGATTTTGATGTGTGGGATGATTGCAAGAGATCTTAGACTTGAAAATCAACTGGTGTGTTGTTCTGATCAGGAGGAGTATCAAGAGGCTTGTTGTAACTTGGATTGGCACAAAATAAGGGTTGGATGGACTGTTTGAAATTGCACCATTGATGCACAAAGATAAATTGATAAATAAACTGGGGTATGTATTTCATTTTAATGAATTTTGACAGGTGTTGTGTAAGTAGTTCTGTGCTCCAAATTGATTTGTGAATTGACATTCATATTACACTGATGGTCCAAGCTTGAAAACTTCTCTAAATTTGTTTACATGGAATCATGTAGTAGAAGATTTCATTTTGGTTTGTATTAGTCAATCAATACTTCAGCTGTGTCTCAGAGTTACCCAATTCATGTCTCTGGATCACATTCAATTTCAATGAGGAGGATTCACAGATTGTTTTTTGATGTAGAGAAGGGACCATCTGAAGCTTTGAAACAATAACCAATCTTGAGTGTTATAATATGATCTATATCCTTGTTACAGCTACATCAATCCATTTCCCTGGATCAAATTTTGTGAGCAGTATTACACCAACACTACAGTCAGTGTTGTGGGCTAATTGTTGGGAGAGGTTGTGTAAAAGGAGCCTATGGATTGTTCACATTCGTAATGGGATAACATCCTGAGTGGTCTAGTCAAGAAAGGCTGCTCTAAGTCATGGGGCATGATTCTAAGAATGGGGGGACTTGAATACACAAACACATGAAATGGTAGGTACTGGAAAGGGGGAAGGGAAGCAGGGAAGGACTGGGGAAAGGAAACCAGAGAGGAGACAGGAAGTCTGGACTGGAATGTAGAAATAGTGTTATTGTCGCAGCACTTTTTTGCTTGGAAATCCGGTAGTGTTAGTGCTATGTTAGCACATTTTCCCTATGCTGTGCTGCGCTACAAGCCACTCACGAGTCACAGCGACTTACAAGCATGTCAATGCAGCATAGCAGCAACGGTGCAACAGATATGCCACATGTATTTGTATTGGATCGTATCATCTTTATTTTGAGCCTGATACAGGTATCAATATTTCCTTGGTTGGTGAAAAAATTTATTGTCTCAGATTCAGATTTACAAATGAAAAAAAATTGTCTCCATTTTTTTTCTTTTTTCTTCAATACGGCCAAATATCTTGTGTATCAAATACGGTTTTGGTGGAATCAGTCATCTGAGACAATGCAGAATACTTGTCTCACTTTCCAAAGATAATACGTGTGTATTGTCTCAGAAAAGTGAGACAACACAAATCCAGTATTTTTGTGTATTCGAATTCTGAGACGATACAAATAAATGCCTGATACCGTCTCGTATTGTCTCTGTTGCACCATTGATAATGGGCCCTTTTTTGGGGCCTGTGCGCGCAGTGTTAGAGCAGGAGTGGTGGAATTCTGCTTGGCTACACTGTTTTTCAGTGGAATCTCACCACGCTAAGAGCATCCGTATTGGTTTGGCTAATTTGGCCCGCAGCCAAATTTCAAATTTTGCAAAGCTAACCTAGCACGAGCGATTCAGCTAGAGATGGGCGCTCCGCATCCGGATATCCGTTTGGATGCGGATATCCGCTCACATTTTCAGCGGAATTGCGCATCCGCATCCGCTGGCGCTGGCGGGTATCCGCACGGATATCCGCGGATATCCGCCCCCTTTTAAGGGTGGATAGTGTTTTTTTTTTCAAAAAAAAAAGAAAGAAAAAAAACTGGTTTTTGAACCAGCTTGTCGGGAGGAATCCCTCCCGGCAAGCTGGATTGTGTACCCTCTCGTCGGGAGGGATTCCTCCCGGCGGTATGGCCTCTCTTGGCACCGGATATCCGCCAGGTCTGGGCGGAAAAACGGCCATCCGCAGCCGAATCCGCACCCGCTGGCGGGTATCCGCTGGCCCTAGCGGGTATCCGCCAGGGGATAGCGGATATCCGCGGCGGATTATCCCCGCCCATCTCTAGATTCAGCAACACCGTCCTTGGCTAAACCAACCAGCCAAACTAGCTAGCTTGTGGAACCATGAGCAGCCGCATTGATAGAAAACGGCAACACCTCCTTGAAGATCTGTTTGGGTCAGACACAGATGATGAAGATGATGAGGAAAGTGGATTCACATCTTTTGAAGAACTGACCACAGACAAAGACGAGGATCCAAAGCCACAAGTCTGACACCGCCCAAACAAGGAAAGAAATCATGCCAAAGGACATACAAGACTCATGCAGGACTACTTTAACAATGGTTCCACTTACAACGATCACGATTTTGAGAGGCGCTTCCGACTCAGAAAGGATTTATTCCTGAGGATTGCTGCCAGGGTGGTTGATGCTTCGCCGTATTTTGTTCAATGGCCAGTAAGTTTTGTTTCTTTTGATTTCTGTTTAAGCTCAAACAGGCAGTTGATAGGTTATTGGACAGGATGCCACAGGGAAGTTGGGCCTATCCAGCTTTCAGAAGATTACTTGCACCCTGAGACAGCTTGCCTATGGATGCGCGATGGATGCCACCAACGAATACTGTAGGATAGGCGAAGCCACTGCTCGCAAAACCCTGATCAATTTCTGCAAGACGATTGACAGCCTGTACGGTCAAGAATATCTACGAAACCCAAATGCGAATGACTTGATAAGGATGCCCGATGTCAATAACCGACGAGGCTTTCCAGGCTGCATCGGCAGCTTGGACTGCATGCACTGGGCATGGAAGAACTGCCCGAGTGCACTGGCTGGTCAGTATAAAGGAAAGGAGAAGAGACCCACGGTTGTTTTAGAAGCTGTTGCCCATCAGAAATTGTGGATCTGGCACACCTTTTTTGGGACGGCGGGGGCTCTGAATGACATTAATGTCATTCAGCGATCAATGATTTTTGAGGACCAACTTGCTGGGACCGGTTGGGATGCTAAGTTTGAAATCTGTGGTCGAAAATACAACCACACTTATTACCTGACGGATGGGATTTACCCAGATTGGTCGACCCTCATCAAAGCCAAAACAGTCTTGCAAGATCCTCCATCCTAACACTTCAAGAAACTTCAAGAGGCCTTTCGAAAGGACATTGAACGAGCGTTTGGGGTTTTGCAAGCACGCTGGGCTCTGATCACCATGCCGTCTTGCCTCTGGAATCCTCATGACATGTATTTGATCATGAAGACTTGTGTGATCCTCCACAACATGATTGTGGAGGACCAAGAGCAAGATTTGACTGAAATCTTTGACCTGCCAAGCTTGACCACTCTGGTTTTGCCCCGAAGCACACCTTACACCTTTAGCAAACAGCAAATCCGGACCATCAAGCTCAGATCAGGGGCACAACATTGACGGCTTACAAATGATCTGATTGATCTCAACTGGGCGCAATTTGGGGCCAGAAACAGGGGGCCAGAATGAAATCCTTGTCTCCATACTTAGAACCATAGAAAGAGCAATTAAACAATGATTCTTTGTTCTTATATTTTTTTGATGTGAGAAGTGAGATAAGAAAGCAGTCACAGGACAGTTTCTTGACTTTTCTTGGTGAATGAGGGAAAACAACAAATCATAAGAATAACCAATGGAAGTGTAAGTGTTATTTAAGTGAGAGAATCAAGGATTGGGTCAATCTCTTCATCACATAAATCATGTAAGCTGTCAGAGGTTCCAGGCTCGCTTTCAGGGGCCAAGGAGAAATTTTCAGGTTGATTTGCAGTAGATGTTGACTGTTCAGGTTGATTTGCAGTAGATGTTGGCTGTTGGCTTTCCTTTTCCTTTTGGGCAGCTAACTTTTGCCTCTGCTTGAGTTGTTCTTGCATGTCGAGAAGAATAGATTCCTTTTGGAGTTTTAAGAATTGTTTCGAGATGTCGTCTGGTAAGTCTTCTATCTTCCTCGCCATAATCTCCATATTCGCCGTGTTAGCTTCAGCTTTAGCGGCTATTTGTCGGATTTTGTTTGTCTCCTTCATGGCAAGTGTTCGATTGCGGTAGTTGCTTGAGCGGTCCAACATGACTTTGATCTTCTTTGTGTTATAATGATCTTCCCTCATTGTTTGTTTGGTTGTATGAACACCTGGGGGTCGGGTCCAGGAATTTTCAGATCTTCCTTCAACGACGGCTGTGCTGGTTTGGGAAGCAATTGGGGTTGCCGGGGTAGATGGAGTCGGAGTTGAGACTGGAAGATTGGTGTCTGGCACGGCTCGAGATTGTGAAAGGTTGTTCCACTTTGGATGCTCCTTGAGGACCATCCAAGCTTGCTCAAAGGTAAACTGTTTGCCTTCTTGCTCGTAAAAAGCCTTCTTGGTATCTGGAAGGAGATCGGTCAAGACAGAACCGGATGGTCGAGTTTTTTCGAGCTTATGATAGATACCGGAAAACTTCAAAGTTGCTTTCTGGATGTGTCCCCAACTGCAGACATAGAAAGGCCCCAATCAGACACTGAAAATGATGGAGAATCAAAGGAAGATTGGACTAACTGGTGCATGCAGTGGCTTCCATCTCTTACAACACCGGTGGTATAATTATTGTAATCTTCAGCAACTCGCTTCCAGTATTTGTCTTTTTTTTGTCCAGTTGATCGGACAATGTCCTCCGAGATCTTGAGCCAAATTTTGGCAAGTTGCTCATTGTCTTGTGGGAGCCAGTTGGGGCCTCTTTGTTTGGCATCGTTGCGAGTGAATCTTGTGTCAAATGGGTGTGGGTTGTTGTGGTTGTACTCTGTATGCCGTTGTGGGTTGGCGAGTATATAGCTTGGTGTATCTACTGTGGCTCTAGCTGGCAATTTAGCTCTGAAGCTAACCCTTGCTAAATATAGCAACGGTTAGCTGAAGATATTGCCACAAGCCAATTTGGCTTGACTTTAGCTCACCCCGGTGCGGTTGAAATCTGCGGCTAAATTCCTTAGCTCGGGGCGGAAATAGCCACCGATACGGATTCTCTAAGCTGCTAAGCTGTGCAAACACCACGTTTACAATAACTGGCCCATCACTGGCAGGGCTATTGTAAAGTGACTCATCAATATGTACAGTATCCTCCCAGATGTTTATGTCTGGGGGTAAACCTGTCACAGGTCCGCTTGAGCCCGCGCGGCGACTGACTCTCTGTACATATCCCCTCAAGTCCAAGGAACCAGCAGCTCAACAAGAACATCCCGATGCCCCTGGCCAAACCGATCTGAGCGAACCGAAGAAAACAACATGCTGCAAACGCACGAGACCGGGTTGTCAAGCTCAAGGGGGACATCTTCCAATCAACCAACATCCTTTGTGAATTCTTGATCTTCTTGTCGGTCACTTTCATGCCTGCACTGGAACCCAATCGATGTGACCTCGTCCCACAACCAACTCGCTTTGGAGGCTTTGAATCTAGCGAAAGCTTGCCCAGGCGCATCAACCTCGTCCCAGCTTGACGACCGACTCGCTTCGTCCCAAGCACAAGGCTTTGAATCCAGCGGTAGCCGGCCTCTGGTGGGCCAATAAAACATTAATTTTTTATTTGATAATCATTATCTCCTGCATCTCAGCTAAACTCTCCATGTTTTTTTTTATTTTTAAAAAAATTATTAAAGAAAAAAAATTATTCAATTTTGCTTTTATTTTTTTATAATGTCAAGCAATGACTTTTCCTATTCTGTTGTTTCATACTCTTTTTTATCATCTCCCTATCTACCACTCCCCAAAAAATGGGAAATAAAGAATGAGTATATTTTTTTAAATTAAGTAATCCATCTGCCATAAACATCAACACTGGGTAGTTACATTACCCGTAATGGTAGTGTAAAGATAAAGTAGTGAATTTCCACTCATTATCATTACTTTCCCCATAATTTTTGGAAATTCTTTGCACATTACATTATCCATTTTGCCTTGGAATTTTTTTTCATGTTCATTACACTATCAGCAACTTGTAGATTTCTTTTTGAAGAAAAAAACATAAATATTGGTAAGACATGTGATACTTTCTGGACATTCATGGCATGTGTTGCTGCCAAATCTCAAAAAGAGAGGCTTTTTGCCACTTAAAATGTGATTAGGGTTGCTTAACCTTTGGATAATCTGATAGTGCATTACTTTATCCATTCATTACACTCAAAAACTTCACCATTACACTACTGGCTGAAAGAAAAATTTACCACTACAGATAATGTTAATGTATCAGGGAAGGAATCAAGTGCACTACATTACTGAGATAATGCAGATAGCGCAGCGTAAAGTAGAGACCCAGTGTTGCTGGGAGGAGACTGTACATCTCTCTTTCATGACTGCAGATCATTTACTGGTTTTATGAGATGATGCATGTATTTCAAAGAATGGATCATACAAATCCCAAAAGCCATCAATGAATTTTCTTTTACCAATTGTGCCCCTTTTTCATTTTCTCTTGGCATCATCATTCAAGCGTCTCCAATTAACTGTAGATAAATGGAGCTTATGCAGTCTTCCAGTGACTGTCTTGTCGATATCATATCAAGTTGCATAGGGCTTTAGCAGTGCAGATAGATATATATTTTCAAGATAAGTTAAGACTTCTACAAAGAAATAAATAATGTTCAAAAGATAGTTAAAAGGGCGCTTGAGAGCTACAAAGTAACGTTGACAGCATCGGGAATATCGGTTACATAAACTATTGGGAGGATGAAGTGTCTGTAGGTGGGGATAACGATTGATGAACATTGGGCGCGTTCACATGAGTTGGATCAGGGCGCAGGCCATCAAAAAGACAACCGGTAATGAGGGTAAAAGGTGAGAGGAAGAACTGTGTTTTGCGTTCTTGGAAGGGGAAGGCATGCTTTGAGAGGTGGTCCAGTCGGTTACCGTACCTGGCAAGTCGGCAGCGACGCCGACTGGTTGAGCACCAATTTGACCGCTACCTATCATGACCATGACACCGTTTGAAGGAACCCCATCCACAACAACAAACATCATGGCGGGGCCAGGGGGGAAACAAGCGACACAAGGTGGCATCTGTGACACATGTAGCATCCCGGAACCGTCGTCGTTGTGTGTGTATGTGCTGTTCAGTTGCAGAAAACGTTGTCCCATGTTCATCGCATGGGTGGAATAGCCGGTTCTTACGATTGAGACAAAAGTCTTGGGTAGTGCGGATGATTGCTTTCCTAAATCGGAGGACTTCAAGCTGACGTTGAAATAATTTCCTCCGTATGATAAAGTTTTAGGCAAAGCGCTGGGACTCGGTCGTGCGCGGTTGAAGTAGTCAGGGTAGACTACAAAAATTGAAAGATTAAAACGTAAGCGACCTCAGACGTGATGGCGTTGGTTCCAATGGTGCCTCTGCTTACATTTTTCTGCGCGATATTCCGTGGGGAAGGGGTAGTTTGGCGTGCCAGGTGCAATGTAGTCGGCGTTGGGCTATAAATGAGGTGTTTTTTTTTTCGTTAATGTCACGCCGAAGAAGGTATAGAGAAAAGAGGAACTTTACATTTGAGCCAGCTGTTAGGATGGAGCCATCAGCCAATAGCGAGGCAACCGAATGATATAACCGGGAGACAGTGGCGTTGCCCATCGGGCGAGACCATCGGGATCCTTTCGGTGCATTTGGGTTGTAGTAAGCTGGAGCATGTAGTGGACTGGAGCCGAAAGATTGCCCAATAGCCCAACTGGTATTGCCGTATCCGGCGGTACCTTTGGCAATACCATTTCCCATCCATAATCTACCGTCGGGCATCATGACAAACTGGCCCATACTTCTTCCTTCGAACAAATAATCCTCTTCTTCCCACTCTGTCGATACATCAGGGGTCATTTTTACACAAGAGTTATCGGCAGGGTACCTGTGAAGAGCGCACTGTGAGCAGGATAGATCCCAATAACATTAGTGGAAAAATCGCTTACGCCGCGATGTTGAAACTGAGAACCCATTGATCAGGTTGAAGATTGGTCCCACCACAAAACAGGATGGTCGCGGTATACTGGTAATTACAAGAGGCTCAGCAGGGTGATGCATTCGTTAGGTCAGATGTCACAGCAAAACTCACGTTATTTTTGGGAGTCAGCGGAAGCATTGCTGTGGCCCCAGATGCGGGATAAGTACGAACAGCGTGTGGCATGTTGGGCAAGGGGTACTCGACGTTGTTTTTGTAGTCATAAATCTCGGTACCCAAGTTGGATTGGAGGAATAAATTGCCTGAAGGAAGTAGCCAGGTGAGTGTGTACAAGTTGGCCGGCAATGTTGTGAGCAAAAAGTTCAGTTTGTTCGGCTGCCCTTTGGAGGGGAAGTATTCTACGGTTGGAATGTTTTGGTTGGCATCGTTCACGTAACCTCCATCCGTACACCCACCAATCTGGGAACCATCAGAAAGAGTTAAGCTTCTGTATGGTTAAAACGCTAGGTTTGTTGATACTCACGATGATAACACTGCCATCTTCAAGTGTCTCAACAGTCGGGTACCATCGCTTTGCTTGCAAAAGAGCACCTCCCGGGTTTACACTCCACTGGCATTTGGTATCGTCATCACAAGGATCCAGTAGCCTGACAGACTTGGCACCATCGTCGTTGTACTAGGGTGCCGGCGAGATTGACGCCGTCCAGTCCGCCAAAGGTGACGGCTTTGTTACCACCGACGGAAATCCTTGTGCCGTTACTGAGAGCCGCACCCTCGGCACAAAAGGTGTTGGTTGCTACTTCCATAGTTCGAAAGGTGTTGGTTCTGAGATCGTATTCCGTAGCCCATGCTGGTTTGTTAGTGCCAGGCAGCCTCAGAGGATTGTTTTCAGCTTTATCTAATATGTAGACCTGCGACAAACCTATTGGTCAATGAGGTGCCCACCCAAGAATTGTGCTGTATGATCTTCTTACCTTGTTAATTCCACCGACGAAAAACTGTTGAGCAGATACTCCGGTGGTTCCAACAACCTCGAAAGTATTTGGAGCTGCTCCGGCCGAGACGCCAAAAGGAGAGAAGGCAGCAGCAATGGCGAGGCCATTTAGCCAGCTACGGGATTGGGGGTTGTTGACTCGCATAGCCAAATGGAGTAGACTTGAGGGGTTTGGTGATTGTATGATCAAGTGTTATGGTAAGTTGATTGGGTAATGATAATGATAGGGAAGAAAGAGAGAAAGAACTGAGGCTTCGCGGATGGTCAAAGGATAGTGTGATCTTAAGCAAGCGAAATGCAAGCAGAAGCCGAATTGACAAGTCAAAAGTGTTAGTTCAAACTGATCGTTGCAGAAAAAAACAACAAACACTGTTGGCCTTATGAATCAAACAAATTACCAGTTGGTTTGAATAGGAGAATGAAGGATAGTTCAGTAAGCTACTGATTGAGAAAGGACTGGTGAAGGCCAGGTGATGATTCAAATTGATATGGTTTAAGGCACTATGATGATCACGAAAAGCAGCCAGACAAAAAACGCTGGCGTCTGTTCGTGGGAGGAACCCAGCTAAGGCGGACTGAAACACGCGAGAAAAGCTCCAGAAATGCTTGACTTTTGGCCTACACTCGGTCATAGCTTTGTCCTTTCTCGGACTCCTATGCCGGACTGTGCTTTCGGAGTCGGCTTGTCTTTTGTTAGGACTGGATTGGTTTCAAGGAGAACTTAGATTAACGATAGTGCAGGGTCAAAGCGGTCTCTACCTGGACACATTTGTGCAAGTATCGGGCCGTTAGTCAAGCGCTCAACTGCTTAAAGATCTGATCACGGTGTGATTCAAGAGTTTGAAGTCTCTGGACCTGGACAGTCAAGCCTCAACTTCGAGGCCATCGAGCGACAATTCTACTTCTCCGGATCAGTCATCAATGTCACCACCACCAGTACGATCAGCAACTTCCCTACGATGGTGGAGGGCAGTCCCATGTGTGCTTGTCGCAGGCTCAACTTCATCTCCTGAATTAAATATTTATGTTCCATTAAACAAAACTAATTTCGAACAAAGTTAACTTGCTAAGTCTTGCTCCGAGAATCAACGCTGCAACTTGCAAGCTGGCGAAGGGGGACTCCCTATTCTGCTGCAACCAAGTTTCTAGAACGTATACAGGGGACAACCAACTCTGATCATGTCGGCATATCCGAACTCAACTAAGGTTAAGTTCGCGGCATATCCTTATCACAAGTCTCTTGTCTGCAGTCAGTATTTCTGTCTCGCAGGAGGGAACGGTAGGACTTATAAACATGTGGTCCAAATTTTGGGGACAGGAAACATACTTGGCTGGAGTGATTATTGCCAAGCTTCTCACTCCTTATCCCAGTTGCCCAAAACTCTACTCTTATCTTGTTGCAATGCAAGCCTTTTTTCTGAAAGAAAAAAAAAAACTTGAAACAAGACATGTTGTGTCAACAAACTATCTGCTTTGATTGAAAATGTTAGGAAGCTTGAGTACCTACTTGTTGAGATGCTTATATTGTGTGTATGCTTCTACCTAGTTGTATGTAGTCTACCAAGTTCCACATCATGATTTCTCTCCTCACTGAATCTAAACCATCTTTATCTTCTGTGATTGCTCCCTGTCACAAGACCTGTGAACTTTCAGTCCCACAGCCTGTGTCCACCAAAACACTACTGGTGCTCTTTGTTGAAAATTGGAATTCATGAGCTAGTCTGCAATTTCCAATCTTGGCACAATCTTCCAAAGATTTCCTATTCTACCACCTTGCAAGGTTACCCACCAAGCTCCCAACTACATTTGGCACCCTTACTCTTAGCAACTTTGAGCCTCATGAAAAGTCAGGAAATGTAATTTCAGAATTTACAAATCTTTGTAAACTCTCTCCAGAGAATATTCAAGCTAATTTCAATAATCCTTGATTCAATTATTCCTTCAAGTGCATTTCTTCAGTCCTTTCTGTTCTATCTTATTTAAAACTTTTACCAAATTTGCTGCTCAAGATAGCAAAAAAACTGTCTATTCAGTTTTCTTTCAAGATGATTGATGAAATTCTGAGGTTGGAGATGGATGAGAGAGAGATTTCTGTTTGGACAGACTTGTTGTGGTACACTTGTTGGGGAACTTTTAAAAGTGGCACAGCAATAAAATTGAGAGAACCAATGACTTTCATTTACTAATAGAGCCTATGCATGTGTTGAATAGACTACAAAGTTCCATCTGTGGCTTGAGGAAAATTGAGTATCAAAATGAATAACAGATCAACATATGCATAAAGAGATGAGGGGAGTAAATGACTATTGGAAAAGACTAGACCAAGGCTCAAAGACTGCAGGGATTTCAGCATAGGGAGTGTCAAATATAAGAAACCCACCATTAAAAACCAGTACAAAAATAAAGTTTTGCATCAATTACAAAAATAAAGTTTTGCATCAATGGGCCTTGAAAGGGGTCAAATGACAAACAAACATGTTAGAAATGGTCAATTTTTTCAAAGCCAGTCAATTAAATAATTTTGGAGTTGGTTATATTTGATACCTCCTAATGAGACAAGATACCACTCAGAAACTAACAAACATAGAACAATCATGTGTGTTATTTTATCCAAAAATTACAAAGCAAAAATTATGAGATATGTGGATTTTTAGTGATGAGAAGAGAGAGACAAAATTCCAGCAATGATCTTTTGTCTTTTAAAGTATTATTTTGTGTTTTTAGGCTTGGAAATACCTCTGGCCCCAGTAACATAGTTGAATTCTCTCAGAAGCCTCTCCTACAGAGAATGTACAACATGTATTCTCCAGGAGAGGCTTTGTTGATCTACTAAGGATTTTCCTTTGCTGCACAATTCTGGCCACATTCCAAGTGTAGAAATTGGAAATAAGATAAAACCATTTACCATAGTTATTAGTATAGTTATTAGTATGTTGGTTTTTTGTTCTTCTTCAGCTTCTCAGACCATCATTCCTAATGGTTAGGGAGAAGGTTTCTATTTATCATATTTACTGAATCTTCCAGAACTCACAAGGTTAAGAGATGGTGTATCAAAATGTCCATGGAACTGTTTTTATGATTCAAGTGATTGACTATCTTTAACAACTGAGATGAATAAGTTGGATATATGATTCTATTCAATACTTAGGCTTATTGATTATGAACTTAGTAGCTGTTTTCATTCATTTTACAGAGTTTTGAAAATGGGGGAATTCCTGTCAAGGATCTGCCAGAGACAGCCAATTTCACGGTAAAGTTTGTCAGAGTTGAGGGAAGCCAAGAATATAAATTTGAGTTCAGATTTAGTCATCAAGAGTATAATACAAAACATAGTAGACTTTAGTAATTATACACTTCACTGTGCCACAACAACATTTGGTCTATTTATGCAACTGGCTCTGGCTTTTCTCTCTTCCCCACCAAAGTTGGAGACATCAAGATTTGAGACCCAAGTACAAGTTTTTGCCTGAGCTTACAACAACACACTTCATATTGAAGACTTGCTTCCTAATAAATTTTGAGTTGAGTTAAATTTAGTGGTAAAATTTGGTTGGCTGTGACAAATCCAGTTATAGAAAATCATTGGCAAGAAATTGAAATATATTGTCACTCAATTCCAAAACTGCGGTCAAGATAAAGAACCCTGTTCCACAGACCACAAGTAATTGTTACCTTCAAGGAATTTCCAACTTGGTTTCTGGTATTCATTGCAATACAGACCCAAAAAGGATTGGTACTCATGCACAACTTAACCAATCTTACAATAAAACCAATGCGTAACTGCCCAAGCTGAAGCCAAAAATTTCCATTTTAGCACCCAATCTATGCATTATTGAGAGGGGATTTTAGAATCCAAAACTTAATTTCTTTCGAGGTGACGACTATTTCCAGAACCACTGTGTCATTAAAAACAAAGCTACAAATGAGTTTTCCATCATCAATATCATCCTTTCCTAAAGGTTTATCTTCCTCAGAGTTCTTCAAAGGTAAAAATGAGATTTTCCTTATCAATATAATCCCTTCCTAAAAGTTTACCTTTTTCAGAAATGCAGACTCTTGCGTGTTTCACAATGACACATCAGAATGGCTAAGTACGATAATTTACATGACTATTTTACCATACAGTTTCTTCAGTAATCCCCTGTTTTTGATGTGTTGAATGAAGTTATCTATATGTTTATGTTGCATTTCACAATCTCTATGAAGCTTTTGATTACACTTGCAGCAAATTCTGATGCGCCTTATCATTACTGCGCACCGAAAAAAATGGATGTGGAATAAAACTGTAACGAAACTTGACGTAAATTGAGGAGAAATCAATGACAAAAGAGCCAGGAAAGCGGTGAGCTTCACACCACCAGACATACAAGACGCTGTAATGACCCATTCCCTTTGAAATACGAAGTGATCTTATTAAAATGCATCTGAAGACATTGTGCAAGTACTGTCCTCTCACCGTCTCTTCAGTCTACCGTGACGTAGCAAACCAACGATGTGTCATCGAGGCCTTGTATGACGTCCGTTATAGAAAGGAAAAAAAAAACGCCAAATGCGCAGCTGAGAGGTATAAACGTGTGCCCTTACATCTTATTATAATCTCCCAAACGTCAGAGTGGGCTTTTTGTACTTTTGCAGGCAGATAGAAGCATGTACCGTCGGCATCCCTACAAGTCTTGGATAAAACTGGGGGCCTTACGCGGTGCCTGTCAAATTTCACCTTTCAAACTGGTAGGAGGATTAAAATTGATGTATGAAGCTGCTTCATCAAGGTGCTGCGTGAGTAGCTTCTGGTATGTAGCAGGCCCGCCGAAGCTTCACTACTGAAGATTGATTCAATGAACCTGAAAAAGCACATAAAGCGCCACCCGCTTTGTTTTCAGATTCACTTTGGACCACTTCTTGCAATAAGAAATTGTGTTCGAAATGTTTGTAAGCTCTATTATTCGATCAGGTCCAGTCTACCCATTTCTTGTCTTGGTTTTTCTGTTCCTTTTTCACGATTTTCCATGCAGTGAGTAATTGACTGAGCTTTCACATAAGTAAAAGTGGCCAGAAGATCCTCACTAATTATCTATGTCTTTGATTGCATGAGGTTTGGGAAATCTCGAGAAAACATGGGAAGAGGCCGACGGACTGAGGTATAAGTGGACTTACTCCGATAAGTTGAGGGATCACGTTAAAACAGTTGTACACGATTCTTCAACGCGCCGGGGTATGTTCAGCGAAGAAAAACCCACCTCCATCATCTCCAGCCTCCAGGAGAAAGTATCTCTCACTCTAACTGATAAACCGATGCCTTCGTTTGTTGGGATTGCGTACATAAGGTGATGATGTCTGGACTGATAAGAGCGACGGGCTGAAACACCAGTGGACTTTTTCACCCGTGTCGAAAAAATGGATAGACACAGCTTTAGGTATGTAACTAGAACAACTCCTCCCAAATAACAATGTTGTCTTGTTAACATTTAACGACGACATTTAACAAACAATGTGTCTTCGTGTGCATTAGGTAGTCATACTGGTAAGTCATGGATTGAGGACGGCGTGGAATACCAGTGGGCTTGGTCACCCCAGAAACAGACTTACATTGAGCAGAGGACTAGCAAGAAACCTGAATCTAGTGGATCAAATTCTCCAGGTGAGTATGCAGATTAAACCTATACCAAGCTTCCCCAGACACGCAAAAGTGCTCCTTTGCTTACACAATAATGGCCACTATTGATAAATAATTCCGTCCCGTGTTCAAAATTGCACAGTGCGGTCTCCTCTGGCCTCATCTTCTCCAATCAGAAAACACATCATTCTGGACGAATCCCCGGCTCACTACGCGGTTAAAATTTCAAGCAATCCTCCTTGGAGAGTTGACCTTTGTGACCTAGATTCACACGGGCTGCCTCAATTTACTTATACTAAAAACTATATAAGAGGCGATGGGAACTGTCTATACCGAGCCTTGTCGTATTTGGTCAAGAGAAACCAAGATTCGCATTGGAACATAAGAGAGCGTGTGTTCAAGGAGATACAAGAAAGTGGTGAATACATAGATTCAATCCAGGATGGCACTATGACTTTCGATGATTTTGTTTCAAAAGACAGTGCTAATGGGGCATGGGGTGGAGAACATACACTTGCAGCTGCGGCAAGGGTGTTGAATAAAAAGATAATCATGCTGTCTCTAGCCTCAACAAGACCGTACTTTAGAGCATATGGAAGTGCGCCGGTTGACCCTGAAGATCCTGGGTTGGTCTTCTTGGGTGACCACTATGAACTACTATTTTCCAAGCCGAGGTAGAGAGGAGAATGAGCATGTCATGTGGAAAAAATCTTGCTTATCAATGAAAATGAAAAAATAAAACATGAAGAAAGAATGCATGGAGGTTTTCCATAGAGGTTATTACAAATTTGAACACTAGGTGACTCCCAGAAGGTACTGGAATGATTTGTTCTTTTTAATTGAATTACAAAAGAGGTTTTCTTAGGTTTTGAATCAACCTTTTATAGTGTATATACAGCTATTTCTTTCAATCAGTTTATCCCCCCCTCCATATTGTTAAAACCTGATTTCAAATACTGCCACAATGATCAAGATATCTACAAAATGAAGCTATCTACTCAAAAAAATTTAACTTGAAAGGAAGCGCAAGTTTGAGTTGATTTTGTGTTTTGTTTTTAATGATCAAGCTCAATTGGTTTTGGAACAAAGAAAAAATTGAATTTCTCTTTGGCGCTTGTGGTTGAGCTTCTCCCTATGACTGGCTTGAGAATTTGAGATTTGATTATAAGAATAAAGTTGCAGTAGTCATTTGCCAGCTCAAAATTTTAGGTCCAACTGGGGCCCCAAATTTTCAACAGATTTTGAAGTCCCCTGGATGTGGGTAGAAGATGTGGGTTTGAATGCAACACTTTTAATGGATTTATGTTTGTGCTCTTACTTTGTTTGGTGTCTGCCTAATCTAATAACTCTCTTTTGTTACTTGTGCAGATTTCCTTTATTAATTTTTATCAATCTCTCCACTTGTTTTGATCAAAACACCTTTTTTGTTCTGTTTGTATGTCCTTTGATTGACTCATATCAGTTGTTGTTGTTCCGAACAACAGCAATAGATGTGGCTGTTTGCTAGCGGAAGCTGTTACAAACTTGTCTGATTAACCGAATGACATCCGGACATTGTGCACTCAAATAAATGCTTCCTTTTTGAATCAACAGACAGGTCGATCCACTTTCCCCATTTTGTATGTAGGACACGGGACACAGTGGTTCACCTCATGAACCTCTCCCCTCAGTTCAAGAACTCGAGGGTTATGCTTCGAAGGTATCCATGTAGTTACACTCAAAATTTGCTCCAATACAAATTGCCTCGTCAAAACCCTCATGCACAGCATTGCTGAAGAACCCCTCGCCCAATTCCTCATCGACACTCGACGATTCTCGGAACGTGTTTTTTTCCCAGACTCTCTGTTGTTTGACTTTGTTTTTCTTCTTCCTTCCGTTATCTTTTCGTATGATCGTTTTTCCAGTCTCCTTGAATAGCGCTAGCAGTAGTGTATAAGCGTTTGGTTGTTTCATCTGATTTGTCGCACCAGTTTGTTGTTTCTTAGTAATAGATTGATAGTTTGCAATGCCATAGGCCCAATCTCACTTGAAAAAGAAAAAGGAAAAAGGACAAGTGCTTCAATTTCAAAGCGTCGCAGAGAGCAGACAGGTGTTGAGGCAAAACAAAGTAAACCACAGCGTATGAGACTTAAGAATATCCGGGAGGTGAGACTTGCACCCGCCTATCTTTCATTGATCCAGGTGATGAAACCTATCGTCGAGTCGCCCGTCAACACGGGGACGAATCCAAGGCTTCATCTCTGCCAGGTTGCAAGTGCAACCCAAGGCCTACGAGATGAAGTCATCATTATGAGTACATATAGAGCAGCATCTATTCGTATTCCACTTTTGGCATAGGCTAAAAGCCATACATGCATTGCTGCCCCACCTCAATCGCACTCAGAATCATTTCACCAGCAGACTCATCGCTAGTCACTGGGATTACCCATAGGGTCATCGAGTAAGCCTAGTCTTCTGGATGGATAAAGGAAAAAACAAGAACTGACGCCCAAGGTTTGATTGATGACGCATTCAAGCGAATTACATCGAAGCGGTCGTCAGGATCAGGATCGTTATCCCAAAACTAGGCACAGTGTCAAGCACCACTACTCGCCAAATCAAGCAGGAAAAAGCAGGAGCGCTGATTCTCTCTTCCTCTCTGCCCATAGATTTTTGCATTGTTGCATATCTCTCAGTGCACAGCGCTCTCATCACAATCGATCCAAGCAGCACGACACATCGGCCTGCTCTTAGGTAAATAAATGAGTCCCATTTCTTGCTCATATCCACATTGTATTTAGCCGTTACCAGATTACAATTTCGAACTTCTCTTAGTCGTCACAAAATTTACAGGATTGTTTCATTACATCGCAGAAGGCTCTCAAATCACCACGCACCTTGATTTCAGATTCACTCTAGACTTCTTCTTGCAACAAGAACTCGTGTTCTAAATTTTCCCGAGATCAATTATGCGATCAGGCACGGTCTACCCCTTTCTCGTCTTGTTTTTTCTTTTCCTTTTTCATGAATTTCCATCCAGTGAGTGATTGACTGAGCCTTCACATAAGTAACTGAGTAGCCGGAAAATTCTCACTACCTATTTTTCTATTTACTTGCATGAGGTCTGGGATCTTTCGAGCAAACATGGCACGATGCTGACGGACTGAAGTATAAGTGGACCTACTCGCACAAGTTAAGCGATCACGTCAAAACAGTTGTCCACGATTCTTCATCGCGCCGGGGTAGGTTCAGCGAAAAAAAAAAAAAACTTCAATAATCTTCAGGCGAATAGTTCGCTCACTCTGACTGATATCTGATCATCCCATCGTCAAACCTATGCCTTCTTTTGTTGGGATGCGTATTTAAGGCCAGAATGTCTGGATTGATCAAAGGGACGGGCTGAAACACCAGTGGACTTTGTCACCCGTGTCGAACGAGTGGATAGACACAGCGTTAGGTAAGCGAGTAAATTTTCATAAAGAAACCGTCTCGAACAACTCCTGCCAAATATCAGTATTTTGATGTTAACATCTAACGACGACATTTCCCAATCAATGTCTTTTCGCGTGCATTAGAAAGCACTATTACTAGTGCTAGTACCAGTACTGGGATTGAGGGCGCTGGTGGATCGAATTGCCCAGGTAAGTGTGCACAGTAAACCCATCCCGAACTACCTCAGACACTTAGGCTTGTTATACAGTAATGGTCACTATTGACCAATAAATCTGTTTTCACAAATTGCGCAAGATAGTGTCCCCCGTGCGGTCTCCTGAGGCCAATTTGAGTCCGAACGAAACACCCGCTCAGGAGTACGCGACTCAAATTTCAAGCAAGCCTCCACGGAAAGCTGACCTTCGTGACCTGGATTCACGCGGGCTACCTCAATATACTTACACAAAAAGACTCATAAAAGGCGATGGGAACTGTCTATACCGGGCCTTGTCGTATTTGGCAAATGGAAACGACCGTTCGTATCGGGACATTAGAAAGCGTGTTAGCAAAAAAATAGAAGAAAGTGTTCATGAATACATAGAATCAATCCAGGATGGTACTATAACTTTCGACGATTTTGTTTCAAAAGAAAAGACTAATGGGGAATGGGGTGGAGAACACGCACTTGCAGCTGCGGCAAAGGTATTGAATAAAAAGATAATTCTGCTTTCTCTAGCCTCGAAAGATCCGGTTTTTCTAGCATATGGAAGTGCACCGGTTGATCCTGAAGCTCCTGGGCTGATCTTCTTGAATGAACACTATGAACTGCTATTTCGCAAGCCAAGTTAGAGAGGAGATGGATCGCAAAGGGTCTGCAAATTGAAATATGAAAAAAATCTTGTCTTCCCATCAGAAAAATAAAAACAAAAACATGAAGAAAGAAAGAATGGAGGCTTGGAACACAAAAAATTACAACCAAGTGACTCTAGTCTCAGGAGGTACTGGAATGATTGTTTTCACTTTATATAAATCTCACAAGAGCATTGTGCATTGGTTTTGTTAGGAATTGAATCAACCACATGTTTTTTTTTTACAATCTGTTTATGTTCCTACCTAGAAGTATTTATAACCCAGTTCAAAATACTCTTAAACTAAACAAAACTACTCAGAAGTTTTTAACTTGACAGACAGCAGGAACTGAAATTTCTGGTTGATTTGGGGTTTGAATTTTCATGGTCAAGCCTCTCAAGATCTCCAAACTCAATTGTTTTGGTTTTGTGGCCAAGAAAAACTCGATTTTCTCTTTGGCTTATGACCAACTAACCATGTGAGCTGGTAAAGCTGCGTTTTGGTTTCCACCTATGAATGGCTTGAGAGTCTCACATTTAATTATGAAATTTAAGTTGCTGGATTCATCTACCACATCAAATTTTGAAGCCCTAACTGTGGCATGTGCCCCCCAAAATTTCCAGAAAATGGTAATCCTCCCGGGGGGGGGGGGTATAATATGTACTATGTAGGTTGGATGTCTCCCCTGGATAGAAAACAAAGGTTGAGGAAGCCAAAATGTGAGTTACCTGCAAGTTGGACCTGGCCAACTATTGCCACAACCTTGAGGAGGGGGTATCAAAGCTGGCTGTTTTTATTTAAAAAAGATAAGAATATGTAACACACAAACCCAGGGTTGATCATAAGTATTTCCCCAGCTCTCATTGATGGTTACTCATGCTGGTCGTCCAATGAGCTGCTTCTCAAAGGCAAATTGCTTCAATATTCTAGATTCCCAGTTTGAATGGGAAATTCCAACTTGAATAATATTTTTTTGTTTATGAAAGGTCCCTTTTGATGGCAGAATAAGCTTAAATCACCAGCCATGATCACTTGTCGCATGTAGGCATGTCCTTAGGACCTGTGCCATAGGATTTTTTTTCATGGAAAGCAAATTGGGGTTATCGTCCTTTTTGGTTTTTTGATAAAACTCATTTCATCAATTTGACACAGGGTATTTCAATATTTTAGCACACAATTCTACTTTACCATCATTTTCCACTAGTAACGGTTCTTGGGTTTTCTGCTGAATCACTGTGGAATTTCAAGAAGTAGCATCAAGGTAGAGAATGGGCAGCACATTAAATTATGCACCTCATGACTGATAAGGTCTATGACCTTTTCAAACAGATGGAAAGATCAAACCCCCAATTGCCTACATGGCCCAATAGGACCCAGGAAACTCCCAATAAAGGTGGGTAACCTAAATGTATGATATTCTCTCAGGGTTTTCTACAAATTGTAAGCAATCAAGCAGCGTGAATGTTTTTTGTTACCCAAGAAGATGCACACAAAGCTGAATCTTTGAATCTCAGCTACTGAGATTTATGAGAGATTACCAGGGTCTAATTACCTGATCCAATTTTCTCCTTGGGTTGGCTCCTTTTGGACATTGTTTTTTTGCCTCACTGCCTTGTCCAGACCCGTTTCATTCACTACTTTCCAACTGAGGGGGTGTTCCCATTAGATATCTGTTGGCTATAACTGCGATATCCTTCAGCATCTGACACATATGTAGCAAGGACTACATAGCAAGTTTCTTTGGTAGATTTGCCAAAAAGAGAGTCAGCCAAAATGTGCTCAATCAAGAAATCCCCGTTGATCAAGTCTTTCCTCCCCGATCCGATCCGAGACGGGGGGGGGGATTAATGTGCACCCAGCATAATGAGATCAGTCCTTTGAATCTCAAAGACAACAACCAAGCAATCGAGGAAGAGTCGAATCGAGGATGCAAAACCCACTATCATATCAATGGATGACGAACAATAACAAATCGATCAGACTACTATCATCATTCCTAGGATTCTTCGATATCAAACTAGGAGTCACTATCATCTGTCTGATCTCCTTGCTCAACAAAGTCGTGGGCTTCTACGGTATCCTGGCCGTCTTTCATGGCGCTAATCTCATCCAAGTAAGTCCTATCTCTTTCTCTAGGAAACACGGAAAAAAGAGAATACTTATGGTGTTTCACTTGTAGATCTCAATGTACTTGTATAATATTCTGACGATCGGTTTGGTGATTTATGGACTACAAGCAACGGGTGAAGTGAACCATGGATCTCATCAGTATTATCATCCCACAGAAGCAGAAAGAAACTGTATACCACCACTGACATCTAATTGGATAATAATTTTTAACCACATATAATGAACGTTTTTTTTTCAAATCGCCGGGATATTACCGTTTCTTTTCTAACGAATGGCCGAACGTTACCAATATGATTTGATACCCCAAAAGGAAAATCCAAGACGAACATTCATATACGCAAATTCCTTACTATTAGATCATTTGATTTCGACACTCTATCTGGTCTACTTTGGCATAGAATGGTACTTTAAAAACCCTCATGATGGACGACGAGAAGCGCATGGAGACGCGCAAAAAAATGTAGGTATTCAGCCACTCCTTTCCCATCGGAACGCCCCCCTTCTTCACTCACTCACCCCACCTGGTGCTTATTTACAAACCACCGAACAAACAAAAGAAGGAAGGCACACATGATCCTGACCTTTGATTTAAACTTATTTTGCGAAAATGGTGGTGGTAGATGATGAATCCGGATGCTCCAAGACTCTCACCGGAATTGAGGAAACAGGCGGCTCAAGCGATCTGGAAAGAAGAGCAAGGATTTGCAAGTGGGATTCTAGGACTAGTGTGGCTAACAAAAGTGAATAAAAATCCGATCACTCCCCTTTATATATATATATCTTCCTGAAATTCGAGCCGAAGCGCGATGTCAATGATATAACCCAAGACTGACCGATCACCTTTTGTGTTTTTCTTGTTGGATTCGACGATGGATGAAAAAAAAAAAATTGAAGTTGTACTTCATCTTTGTTGTCTATTCCTTTGCCCTCCATCTGCGTCGAGGTACCTACACTGCCCTCCCACTCTCCCGACCGCCATCGACGATCTCGACTTCTACCCGACTACGAGGCGTCTCTCGTTCGCTCAACCCCAACTCTTCCGCTTACACTTACAGTCAGCTCCGTAATCCAAATGGAACTCTCCCGCTCGCCTCCCCCTCCTCCTCTGATCTCCCCGTCTTTCGCCCTCAGTTGGACGATATTCATCCCCTTGAAATCCAGTCGGTTCCTACTGAACTTAGCTTAAATCCTGGCAAATTATCTTGATTCATCCCTCTGGAAATTGCTCTTCTCTCTTATACTGTTACTATTACTACTATCTTTCTCTTCCTCTCTTCCTCTATCTATCCTATCCATTTTTTTTTTGAGAAGCAGACTCACACAGCATCTCTCCTTTCGACTTCAAAAGTAGTAGCATACACATTCATGTAAGATGAGTTTTTATTTGATCTCGTTGTTCGGGTTCTACTATTCCGTATCTCAAGGCAGTCGACTCAAAAGATAACAAGCATGCCGGCCGAAAAGGTAGTTAATAGAAAGAGGCAGATGGAGCGAGAAGGAGAGAGAAGTGTGATGTTACTGAATTCACGTGGCTTGCATCCAAAGTTAAGGATTTCGATAACCTCTACGGTGATACCAAAGTCATGAGTGATTTACACACAATGTGTCTTAAAAGAAAATCAACAACACTTCATCCTTATGATATATTTCAAGATTTTGATGTTAAATGACAAGACTTGAACATACATCAATTCAGTCCATAATTCATTGGCAGAGCTAAGGTTCAGCACAGGAGGTCAACACGTGAACTTTGCGGCTAAGAATTGGCTCGAATGAAATAACAAGAAATGCCATGCCGGTGAAATGAGAAGCTCAATATTTATGCATCAACCAACATGTGTGAGCACTTGGGCAGGGCGGCGCCGCTCTCTAAATCCATTCATTCACCTCATTGGTCATGAGTCAGCGATATCCGTGAGGGCCATTTCGTCAGGATTCACTGCATGTAAGGAAAATGTAAGGAACTCTAGGATAACAGTGACATGTTTTTCCACCGGTGTGTTTTTTCGCCCAAGTGATCCATATAAATCCCTGCATCCAGCGTCCGTTTGCTTATTCAAAACAGTCAACTTGACCAGGATCCTACTTCACCTACATAACAGTTTACTCTCGTTGAATTTTTATCGGTCCTTCAAGCAACAATGTTTAATCTTAATACCTCTTTGGTAACGGCGTATGTCGTCTGTGTGATTACTGTTCTTTCCTACTCTCTCGAACCTCCAAAAACCCGACACTTTCCTCCAAGTCACGAGCCCACGCAACATTGCACGAAGGGTGTTCAGAGGTGTAAGTTCCAATTTCCGCTATATATGATGTTTCTCCAAACCAGCCACAAGTTCAACCTTTCCACGAAATCGTTATTCATCTCTATCCAGACGACCACAACGAGACGCCTTATAAATGCGACCATTGCAACTCGGGAGCTGATCAAGACCCTCATGGAAGCCCTTGTAAGACATAACCCTACCCTGTGTAGTAAAAACAGTTTCCACGTTGGAATGGCAGCATTGCAACCGAATGCCATCCAGAAATATCGGCGGCCTCGGCGGGGCACCTGACGTAACAGTGGTTCAGACCACGTACTACCAAGAGGACAATTACATCCTAGGTAACTTATTCTTGTGCATTAATAAAGAGGTTTTTGGGATACGTGAATAGTTGCTTACGATCTATACAAGCATTCCCTTTCCTCCTGATCATAGTGGCTGGTGGGCGCGAAGCAAACATGAACGAGGATCATAGATATGAATGTGACTCCGCCAGAAACCCTCAAAGTCCTTGTGAGTGTCCATTTACCTTCTCAAGATGAAACCACTAACAATCCACAGGCTGACACACCTTTTTATAACCATCAGACTGCTTTAATTGTTCTCCTGCGTAGTGGGACAAGTACAGACAAACATGCATCCGATTGAAGTTGTTATCTGTCTTACTCTTATGTGGATCTCCCATCACGTGTATGACTATCAACTACCAAAGAACAAGCTCAATTTTTAGTTCCTATTCGTTCCATGTATTGGCGGTAATGGATATTCCCAATCATGAGGGAATCATCGTTATGCTGGTCATGATCTTAGCGGGCGTTGATAAACGCACTCCTCCCCCCTCCCCGCACGCCCACGCCCACGCCCCTCCAAAAGGGGCGTGCAATCCCACCCGCCCCTCAGGGAGGGGCGGGTTTGATTGCACGCCCCTCGGAATCCTGTTTTCGAGGGAAAACAGGATTCCGAGGGGCGGGCAGACAAACCCGCTCTTCCTGACGCCATAATTGGGAGGTGAAGGGAGAATAAAGTTCTCCCTTCACCGGACTGTACCCCTCCCGGCCGGGAGGGGTACAGTCTCGATGGCCAGGAGGAATCCCTCCTGGCCATCAGGACCAGTCTCGGTGGCCGGGAGGGATTCCTCTCAGCCATTGAGACTGTACCGTCTCAACATGGCCAGGAGGAATCCCTCCTGGCCATTGAGACACACAGTCTTGGTGGCCAAACCACCAAGACTGTACAATCCCGACGCCCGGGAGGGATTCCTCCCAGTCGTTGAGACTGTACAGTCTCAACGGCCGAGAGGAATTCCTCTCGGCCTATCAAGACGTACAGTCTCAACGGCCGAGAGGAATTCCTCCCGGCCGTCGAGACTGTACAATCCCGACGGCCGGGAGGGATTCCTTTTTATTGAAAAAACTCGCTTCCGAGGGGCGTGGTCGTGGGCGTGCGGGGAGGGGGGAGGAGTGCGATTATCATCGCCCAATCTTAGCCAATTATGTTGGCAGTGGCGCTACAAGTGGATTTTTTTGATTTTAAACTTCAAAACTTAGGATGAAGGGGGGCTCAAAAAAAGGAATGAATTTTGTAGAGAGAAGTGCAAGATGACTTACTGTAGCCAGTCACAAGCTGTATGTAGATGCAACTTGCAAAGCTGTTAAGCTATTCGACTTTTTTTTTCTACAATTTTTTTTTCAATTTACAAAAATCAAGAAAATTGTTGGAGGACTTCCCAAGCAAACTGGAGCCCTTTCAGGAGTCGATCCATACTTGAAAACTCCAGATCCTCAGAGAGAAATGTGATTTTCAAGGCTCCAAATTGGTTCTGTGGGACCCGAAGATGTTGACGGGAAGTCCTCCATTTTGCCGTTTTGGAAGGGTTGTGATTGGGAGTCACAGATCCGTCGGGGATCCGGCGTCGCAGCCGGATATGCCGGCCTCGGATGTCAGGAAGGCCGTACCTGGACCCGGCGGCCCGGATCGGAAGCTTACAATGAGTATGACAGTATCTGTATGACCGACCACCTCAAGG